GCTGATAAGGAATGGATGTTTTCCCTTGGGGGAGAGATATTTTCTTGGTTTCTCATGCTTTGTACCTCTGCGATAGTTTGTAGTCATCAGGTGAATTATACATTTCTTCCTAAATTCTTCAAGTTAATTCTGAGTGTTCAAAGATGAGCAGGAAGTGGTGATCGGCAATCTCTCTGCTGCTCTACCTCCCTGATGCACACCAAGCAAATCTGCACTGTTGTGTCTTAACTTAAATCATCCAAAGTCCTCCCAATTTCTAGAAAACAGGTAACCTTAAGGTGAGCTTCTGAGCTTCAGTTATGGAAGAGAGAAGGAGTCGCTTCAGGAAATGCTGAAGTCTGAAAATTCAGAGGCATATGGCAGGGGATGAGTCACTGTCTCTCTGTAGCTCAGTGTCCCTGCCGCTCAGTGCAGCCAGGTCCGTCACAGTGGCGGATGTCCCGATGACATGGGGACCAGGGAAAGATGGGCTTCTCCAAGTCCCAATGAACACACCTGAGAGTTCCAAAGGCATGTGGGGGAGAGGAAGAGCCACATTCTACAGGGTCTCTCCCAGCCGCAAACAGCTTGCCATGCAGCAAGGCCATCAAAGGCAGATGTCCTGATGGTGTGAGGACTGGGAAAAGAATGTCTATTTTTACGCCAGCCAGTGGCTGAATCCCATATGCCCAATTGTGTGATTTAAGCCCTGGACTTGGTGGCTTGAAAAAACACCATGTACACATATGTGTGTGCCTAAAGTCTCAATAGAAAAATGAAGGAGAAGAAATTGCAGTGTAGTTATTCCCCCAGGGGGTGCTTTCTCAGTTTCCCTCTTTGTCTCTCCAGAAAGCATATGCATCCTAACCCCAAATTAAACAAAAACAACAAGATAAAAAGAATATATATTCTGGGGACCAGCAGTTGGCATGACTACGTTTCTGGACTTGCATGTAGTCGACCACATTTCGAGTCCAGGTCCCGGTGGCTTAAACTCACACCAGGCATGTGTATGTGCGTGCCCAAGATCCTGAGAGGAGAATGGAGGAGAAGGGATTGCGGCGTGACCATCCCCCCTGGGGGGTGATTTCTCGCTTTCTGTCTCTATGTCTCTCTCTGTCTGTCTGGTGAGCACACCCACCCTATAGCAAAAAGTCTCTCCAAAAAAAAAGAATGTATATTCTGTGATGGTTGGTTTGAGTGCTCTATAAAAGTCAATCAGATTATGTTGGTTGATAATATTCCATTGGCTTCATAGCTTTCTGACTTTGTCAGATCAGATCAGATCATCTCAATTACTGAGAAGGAATCCTGGGACCTTCAATTGTTTAATTTTCTGTTTATCCTTGTGATCTTATAAGTTTTTCCACCAGGTATTTTGAAACTTTACAATTAAGTGCATATGCAGTAGGAACAGGGACATCAAAATATAGTTAGGGCATAGGCCCAAAATGGAATCACAAAATGGTTAAGCTTTAAGATGAAGATGCAACAGCTCAGCAGCAGCTCAGCTCTTACTGAACTGTATGCTCACAAGGAAACACTCACAATGATTCTCAAAGTAGTTAATTAGGGCAAACAGAACAAATAACAGAGGCTTCTTTCATGCCCTACCACATTTTAGAACAGAGATAAAGGTCTTTGTGGTCCAGGAATTCCTCCTGCCCCTCATTTCAGAAAGTCCTATTAAGGCCTTGGACAATAATTCACAAAGTTAACACTAGTTCCCTTGATGAGATAAATTCCTCCTGAGAACAAGCACAAAGAAAGCCCCTTCTGACCAAGACAATAATGGGTCACTCCTGCCTCTAAAGAAATGCATACATAAGACCTTCCTTGCTGAGATTAAAAACCCCTCACCTTAGCTCCTTTTCAGTAACTCTTTTTCAGGACCCCTCCCTGAGAGAACCTTTCCTCTCTTTAAATAAACTCCACTTTGCTATCCCCACTCTTTGTCCGCATCTCTAATTCTTCATGAGCATACAAGAACCGGGCCATCTAGCAATCCTGAATCTGGCACTGACACTGGGCCCACACTCGCCCACACTCACTGTAATATCCTGCATCATGTACACATATAGGTTTATTAAATCTTGCTGATAAGACTACTTTATCATTATGAAAACTGTCATCTTTTTTTCTTTTTCTTTTATTAACTGTCAGGGAGTATGTGCACTCACCACAGAGAGAGAAAGGAATAAAGCACCTCCCAGTGGAGCATCATTATGATGCAATTTGTTCTCCTCCATTTCTCTATCCTGTTGAGATCTGGGCACACACACACACACACACGGCTCTGTATGTTCAGTAAGCCTCCAGGGCTGAATCTGAACTGTGGTCAGACATGTGGGATCCAGTTCCCTTAATCACAAGGGCTGTGGGTTGGCTCAAAACAACCTTCTTTAAACTTGGAAACATTACTTGTTCTAAAACCTATTTTGCCCATAATAATATACCCACTCTAACTTTCCTAATTAGTGTTTTTATATTCTTACCTGGTTTTATTTACTTCCATCCTTTTAATTTTTACCTACTTGTATATTTAAAGTACATCTCTTCTAGTTCTCATATAAGTTGAGTCTTGTTTTCTGTTAAACAGTCTAACAATATCTACTTTTTAATAGGTGTTTAAATTATTTGTAAGATTTAAATTTATTTATTACCTTGCCTTTTGCTTTTTATTAGTCTCATTTGTTCTTTGGTTTTCTGTGACTTCTCCTGGACTCAGGATTTGTAAAATTCCATTTTATTTCCACTATTAGTATATCAGCTCTAGCTTCACTTAAAAAAAAGAAAGATCATTCTAGGATTATCATATATATCTTTAATTTATCATAATCTATCTTCAAATGTCATACACCACTGTTATTTACTGTGGGATCCTTTCAATAGCATATTTTCATTTCTCTGACCATCATTTTGCACTATTGGTGTCACACATTAACTTCTACATGTTATAAACTCCATAATATGGTGTTAATATTTCTTTGTGTATAGTCACTTTCCAACTAATATCATTTTCCTATCACTTGAAGGACTTCCATTATTTCTGATGTGAAGGTCTGTTGGCAACAAAGTTTGTATATCTGAGAAAAATCTTAATTTGCCTTCATTTTTGAAATGAATTTTTGAAATATTTGATATAAAATTCTAAATGGATATTTATTTTCCTCAGACCTTTTAATGATTATTTCAATTGTCTTATGATTTGCATAGGACTAGCCAAAAAAAACCTGTGAATTCTTTGTTCTTCTGTCTGTATTTTACCTTCATTTTTCTCTTTATCTCCGGCTTTCAGGAATTTGATTATGATATACCACCATATATGATTTTCTTTGTGTTTATCCTCTTGGAGTTTATTGAACATCTTGGATATATAGGCTTATACTTTTTTGGGGGGAGGAAGAGGTTTTTGCTATAGGGCGTATGCGCTTGCCAAAAAGACAGAGAGAGACAGAGAGACAGAAAGTGAGAAATCACCCCCCAGGGGGGATGACCACGCCACAGTCCTTTCTCCTCCATTCTCCTCTTGGGATCTTGGGCATGCACATGCCCCTGGTGTGAGTTTAAGCCACCGGGTCCTGGACTCGAACTGCGGTCGACTACATGGGAGTTCAGCGACATAGCCATTATGCTAACTGCTAGTCCCAGGTTTATACTTTTCATTAAATTTAAATGAGACAATTGTATTTTACTTCTTTTGGCTTTAATCTTATTTATATAGCCTTGCTGTTACTTTCCGTTTATATTTTCATAGGATGCATGTGCTTGCTGGAGAGAGACAGTGAGAGGGAAAGTAAGAAATATCCCTGGCCACTCCACAATCCCTTGTCCTCTATTCTCCTTTTAGATTTTGGGCATACACACACATGTACTCTGTGTGATTTTGAAGCCACTGAGTCCAGGACTTGAACCATGGTCAGGCATGTGGGAGTCCAGTGCCTTAAATACCAAGCCACCTACTGACCCTATCCTATGTCCCAGTTCTTATTTGTGTGTGTCTCCTGTTAATCACTATAGTTAAGGTTATTAAAACAAATCTTTGCCACAGGAATAAAAGAGACCCATAACAGCTCCAATTAGCATATTGGGTTGTTGGGAAAGTCATGACACATTTTTGCAAAGAAAAATATGTCATGATTTTTCTGATGACCTAAAGGTGTCTTTTTTTTTTTTTTGAGAAGTTTTTGCAATAGGGCACGTGCACTCACCAGAAAGACAAAGGCAGACAGAGAGATAGAAAGTGAGAAATCACCTTCCAGGAGGGATGGCCACAGCGCAATCCCTTCTCCATTCTCCTCTTGGGATCTTGGGCACTCATGCACACATGCCTGGCATGAGTTTAAGCCACTGGGTCCAGGACTCGAACTGCGGTCAGCTACATGGGAGTTCAGTGAAATAGCCATTACGCTAACTGCTGGTCCCAATAGGTGTCTTTTAATAGGTGAATGGATAAACAAATGATGATACATACATATACCATGGGCTACTATTTGGCAATAAAAAGAATACCTACTTGCTAATTACAACGTGGATGACCCCGAAAAGAATTATGCTGAATGAAAGAAGCCAATCTCAGAAGGATACATATTCTATCATCACATTTATATAACATTCATGAAATATCATAGTTACTATGATGAATTGCTGATTAGTAATTGCCAGGGTTTAGGGATATAGGCAGGAAGTAGGTGTAGCTACAAAGGGGTAGCATAAGGAAACCTTGAGATAGAACAGTTCAGTACTTTGATTGTGGTGGCAATTACACAATTCTACATGTGATAAAACTACATAGGATCAGGTAGTAGTAGTAAAGTGGTCATGTAACTAGACATGAAAAGGGTCTTAGGACTCTCCTGAGCAAGCCAGGTACATGAATGTGCATACCATCCAAGCTGGCTTAAGACTGGGAGTCAAGTGCAGCATGGAGTCCCTGTTGGGAATACTTGTCTCTGTCTATATTTCTCTCCCTCAGAGAAGAAATAAGTGAATAATCTTACAGATTTTACAAAATCCATTACCTGTGTTGTAGCTAGATAGATCTTCTTTTGTCAAATCGATCACAGAATCAAGTTTATTCTTTTCTACAATCTGAAAAAAAAAAAGGTTTGCCTCAATAGGAGAAAAAAACGTTTTTAGAGAAATACATATAATCTTAAATTACCTTTTAAGAAGCTAGAGATTGAAAATGCTCTGTTTATGGTTTAATTTAACTCTTATGGTTTAATTTAACTCTTCCACGGAAAGAAACTTCTTATAAAATATTAAAATAGGTTTAGTAAATGAATATGTTCAATGTGTAAACTGGACTAGAACCTGGTTATTGTTATAATTTCTCTCCCAAAGAATTAGGACCAGCAGATGGCATGGTGCTTGTCGCTGGACTCTCACAGAGTTGAGTGCAGTTTGAGTCACAGACCCAGGAACTTGAAACTCATGCCGGGCATGTGTGCATGTGTGCCCAAGATCCCAGGAGGAGAATGAAGGAGATAGGATTGCGGCATGGTCATCCCCCCTGGGAGAGGTGATTTCTCACTTTTCCTCTATCTCTGTCTCTCTTTCTGGCAAGCACATGTGCCCTATGGCAAAAAAACCTCTAGAAGAAAAAAAGAATAAATGACAAAATGAAGTTATCTAACTTATAGCAACACTAAAATTCCTAGAACTAGTATATTTAAATGAACAATATTCAGAAACTATTTACTACCCACCATAACTTCAGCTTCAGCATAAGGTGAATTGCTGGAATTTCCTGATGTAATTTTTCTAATTTCTAAAAGAAAATTATTAAAATATGAATATATTTGACAAGTATATTAAACTATTCAATATTATGGACTCTGTAATATATGAATGCTGAAACACAGTAACAAGAGATGTTAAATAGCTCTTAATTATGTACTCATAAAAAGCACCTTGTGGCCAGCAGGAGGTGTAGTGGTTAAAGTGCTGGACTCCCACATGGCTAACCATAATTTGAGTCCTAGATCTGGCGACTTGAAGATCATGTTGGGTATGTATTCATGTATCCCCCCTAAATCCCAGGAGGAGAATGGAGAAGGGATTGCAGTGTGCCATCCTCCTAGGGGGTGATTTCCCACTTTCTCACAGTCTCTCTCTCTCTCCAGGAAGCACATGTGCCCTATGGCAAAAACCTTTAAAAAAAAAAAACTCACTTCACTTTACCAATTTCAAAGACTGGCAATGCAGTTTAAAAAAAATGTAATTTGGGGAACAGCAGTTGGTGTAATGACTATGTCACAGTACTCCCATGTAGTCAACCAGTTAGTCCCAGACCTGGAAGCTTAAATTCATACCAGGCACGTGTGCGTGTGTGCCCAAGATCCCGAGAGGAGAATGGAGAAGGGATTGCAGCATGACCGTCTCCCCGGGGGGGATGATTTCTCACTTGCTGTCTCTCTGTCTCTCTCTGTCTTTCTGGCGAGCACACATGCCCGATAACAGAAACCTCTCCAAAAAAAAAAAAAGTAATTTGGTGGGACCACCAGATGGTGTAATGGACTTCCACATGGCCGACTATGGTTCGAGTCCCTGATCTGATAACTTGAAACTCGTGCTGGGCATGTGTACGTGTGTACCCAAAATCCCAAGAGGAGGATGGAGAAGAAAGGACTATAGTATGGCTATCCTCCCTGCAAGGTGATTTTTTGCTTTCTGTCTTTCTGAGTCTCCCTCTCTCTCCAGCAGGGACACACGCCCTATAGCAAAAATCTCTGTCTAAAAAAAAAAAAAAAAATGTAATTTGAGATCAAAAGACTTTTCCTTTTGTAGCTTTACATTTATACTACAAGTTGAGTACTACTAATCAAAAAATCTAAAATATGAAATGCTCCAAGATCTGAAACATTTTCAGCACTGACATGATGCACAAGTTAAAAAATCCATACCTTATATGATGACAAATCAGAGGCACAGAATACAGTTTACTCAACATCCCCAAGGGAAAATAGACTCTGTCAGCCTCCTTCAGATGTGATATCTCTTTTTCATAACCACCCAGATTCTCCAACACAAGCACTCCTACAGACAGTTTCATACATAAATTATATGAAATTACCTTCATGCTATGTGTATAAGATACATATGTAATATAAATGAATTTTGTATTTATATTTTGGTTTCATCATTATGTATATGTTAATATTCCAAAATCTGGAAAACTTTTAAATCTGAAAGACCCTGGTCTCAAGCACTTTAGATAAAGAATACTCTTTATCTCTGCTAGATAATAACACTTCTATTTTATTTTTTTAATGAGACATTTTAGCTATAGGGCACATGTGCTCACCAGAGACAAAAAGCAAGAAATTACCCACCTGGGGCATGGCCTCATTACAATCCTTTCTCCTCTAGTCTCTTCTTAGGATTCTGGGCACATACGCACAGGTGCCCAGCATGAGTTTAAGCCACCAGGTCCAAGACTAGAACCCTGGTTGACTATGGGGGAGTCCAGCAGTGTAACCATTGTGCCATCTTCTGGTCCCTAATAACACTTCTATTGAAAATATATCTGGAGATTATCTTAGCATTTGAGAAAATAAACTTGGAAATGCATATTTTTTTTGTTCACAGTATCTTTAGAAAAGACTGTCTAAGATAGCTGAAGAGTACACTTTCGCAACCAGAAGAAAGTGACAGATGAATGCATTTTATAACTCTTTGAATCATATAATCTTAACAGCCAAGTCAATGGGTAAATTAAGTAGCTTTATAAGTGGATTTAAAACTTTCTGAAATTGCTTGTTTTCTCACTTTCTCTTTCTCTCTTTCTCTGTCCCTCTCTGGTCAAATTAAAATACATAAATAAGTAAAGTTAAATAAAATAATTCTTTAAAAAAGGGGGGGGCCAGCAGGTGGCATGGTGGTTAAGGGTGCTGGACTCCCACAGGGCCAACCACAGTTTGAGTCCCAGACCTGGCAGCTTGCTTTCTCACTTTTTCTCTCTCTCTCTCTGTCCCTCTCTGGTCAAATTAAAATAAATAAATAATTAAAGTTAAAAAAATAATTCTTAAAAAGAAAACTTTCTGAAATCAAGATACAAATACTCTAATATAATTAAAAATAAAATAAAAACAGGAAATTTTGGATAAGAAATTATAGGCCAAATAAGATGGCTATTTTGGGGGCTGGCATATGATGCAGTGGTTGGGATGCTGGACTCCCACATAGTTGACTATGGTTTGAGTCCTGGACATGGCAGCTTGCTTTCTCACTTTTCCCCTCTCTCTCTGTGTCACTCTCTGCTCAAATTTATATAAATAAACAACAATGATGAATAAAATTAAATAAAATAATTCTTTTTAAAAAAGATGGCTATTTTGAGGAGAAAGAAATTTGTTTTATAAGTTTACATTTTTTTTTTCCTTTCAGTCATAGGGTATGTGTACTCACTGGAGAAAAACAGAGAGAGAGAGAGAAAGGAAAAAGTAAAAAAATCATCCCCCGAAGGGACCAGCAGTTGGTGTAATGGCTATGTCACTGAACTCCCACGTAGTCAGCTACGGTTGAAGTCCTGGACCTGGTGGCTTAGACTCACACTGGGCATGTGTGCATGTGTGCCCAAGATCCTGAGAGGAGAATGGAAGAGAAGGGATTGCAGTGTGGCCATCCCCCCTGGGGGGTGATTTCTGTCTCTCTGTCTCTCTCTGTCTTTCTGGCTAGCGCACATGTCCTGTGGCAAAAAAAACTCTCAGAAAAAAAAAAAATCATCCCCCATTGGATGATGGCCACACTGCAATCTCTTCTTCTCTATCCTCCTCTTGGGATTGTGGACATGCACACATTCAAGCTGCTAGGTCTGGGATTCGAACCATGGGCAGCCATGTGGGAATGCAGCACCTTAACTACCACATCACCTGCTGGCTCCTACAGCTAAAATTTTTATACTTAAGTATAAGACATAAACTCTAAAAAGCAACAAAGGTATTACCAAATGATCAAAAGTTTAAAATATAAAAGAAAATAAAGAATAAGCAAACTTTAAATCTAAAATAAACTATGAGATTCCTTAACAGGTAAGATAAAAAGGTTTTTTTTTTTTTTTTTTTTTTTAAGTTCCAAAAAAGAAAGGAAGGCCCCCAAAAAAAAAAAAAAAAAGGCACCAAAGAGCTACCATTACCACCAACAGAAGGCAAGGATAAACAATTAAAAAATAATGTACATGAAAATTACAAAGTTTTATAATGGAAAACTACTCAAACATGATAAAGAACAAGCAATGAACTGATTAAACACAAGGTTAAAAAGAAATGCAAATGGAATACTATGAAATCATTTATTTAGGTAATAATCATAGATATAAATTAGAATATTTTTGAAAATAGACTTAAAATTTTTATTTTATTAAAAGATACTTTAGACAAATACTGATTTAAGGCTTTCTAATTTGATAGATCGTATTCTAGTCAACTTAAAATACCTGTTGGAGTTGGTGTAATTGGAGTTGTCAAATTAGGACTTTCCACAGAAACCAACAAAACATCATCGTTACTAAAATGATAAAAAAAAAAGGAAAACAAAACTAAAATAAACATGCATTACCAGGTTTAAACATGCAATTAGTGGTTACAATTCCTCAAACTTAACACTTATAATATGTTTTAATTGTGGGGGGGAAATGGACATAATAAAGCCAAACATCTAAGAAATTCCATGTATTATTAGTTCAATTATATGACCAATCATTCATGCAACTCCAGCAATAATAGACCCATAAAACTTAAAAAAGATCTAATCACAATGAATCCAAATATACAAATACATAAAAGTACAAAATATGCAAAAAACACTCTACTACAAATAAACCAATGACAACCCATGAAGACACTTTGACAAAGACACAGGACTACAATAAACAAAGGTAGACAGTGGTACAGTGGTAATACAAGTAGATCTACATAGAAAGATAGTGGGCTCACATCTTGGGGTGTGCTTGAGCATGACAGGCATGCTCATGCTTGTGATCTGGATGACTGAGACTGGGGGTAAATTGCAGAGTGGAAACACCGTTGGAGGTGCCTGTCATCTATTTTTATCTTTCTCATGGAATCAAAGATAAATAAAACAAACAACAAAAAAAATGACACTACTGGAGTCAGCAGGTAGATAGTGGTTAACGGTCTGGACTCTCACATGACTGACTGCAGTTTAAGTCCCAGATCCAGCGGCTTCAAACTCATACTGGACACATGTGTGTGTGTGTCTCAAATCCTGAGAGAATAGAGAAGGGACTGAGTTGTAGTCATCCTCCTTAGGGGGTGATTTCTTGCCTCTGTCTTCCCAGTAAGCGCACATGCCCTATAGCAAATATCTTTCTCTCAAAAACAAAACAAAACATGGGACCAGCAGTTAGCTTAATGGCTATGTCGCTGGACTCCCATGTAGTCGACCACGGTTCGAGTCCGGACCTGGTGGCTTAAACTCATGCTGGGCGCGTTTGCATGCATGCCCAAGATCCTGAGAGGAGAATGGAGGAGAAGGGATTGCAGCGTGACCATCCCCCCTGGGGGGTGATTTCTCGATTTCTGTCTCTCTGTCTTTCTGGTGAGTGAACACGCCCTATAGCAAAAACCTCTACGGAAAAAAAAAAAATGCCAAAAACAAAACAAAGCCACTAGTCTGTATCAATACACTAACAATATCTACCACAAACTCTGCAAACAGAGGCAATAATGATAAATGCTAATTAAAGTTATAAAAATATTTTAAACCAGATCATTTTTGACTACTATTTTGACCAACTCCATACTTATGAGTTTAAAATTTTGTCAGAATCTTGTTAGGAAAACTGTGAGATGACGATTAAATTCATTAAAATGCTAGATGTATTTTCTATGCAGTATAATTATGACATTTTCTTGTATATATCTTATTTTTAGGTTGGTATTTAAGTTTATGATCCATTTTAAACTAATTTCCATATATGGTGTGATGAGCGAAGGTTCACTTCTTCCCTCTAGTAATTCAAGTGATGATGTTTATTGAAAAGAACATCTTTACCCTATTAAATAACTTGGCACTTCTGTATGCCACTGGACTACATGTGTATTTTTTTTAGTCTCCACACTAATCTGCCTATCTCCTTACCAATACTACTGCCTTAATTACCACAGCTTTATAGTAAGTTTTGATCTCAGATGGTATAAGTTTTCTGACTTTGTTCTTTTATCGTAACACTGTTTACATTTGCAAGGTCTTCACATTTTCATATAAGCTTTTAACCTATTTGTTCCATTCTATGAGAAAGGCTGCAGGAATTTTGACTGAAATTGTATTAAACATGTACAATTATTTGGGGTGAAGACATTTTAACAAAAATGAATATTATAATTCATGAACATGATACGTCTCATCATTCTTATAATTTTTCAGTAATACTTTGTTTTTTAGAGAAAGATGTTTGCAACAGGGCATGTATGCTTGCCAGAGAGAAAGACAGACAGAAAGTGAAAAATCACACCCCAGGGGGGATGGCCACACCACTATCCTTCCTCCTCCGTTCTCCTCTTGAGAGTTTTGGCGTGAATGCACTTGCACCTGGGGTGAGCTTTAGCGCCATTACGAGACATGAGCTACCATCGAAGAAATACTTTTGACAGATTAAAAGACATCCATGTTTTCTAAATGGTGGAGTAAACCACAGCAAGTAGGGATGCACTTTCAAGCTTAAAATTGTCAAGTTGGGCTGGCTCTGTGTCACAGCAGTAACACATGAGAGAGGCTGGATCCCACGTGGCCACCACTTTCCCTATTCCTGGCCTGGCCAGCATGAAACATATCAGGCACACATATAAGTGGCCAGGATCCAGTGAGCTGGAGGACTGGAGGAAGGGAATCCCAGCACAATCAGGGCCTGTGGACAGTGCTTTCTTGCATGCTTTCTCTTGCTCACATGCACTCTTATCCGGAATAAAGAAAAAGTAAAATTAAAAAAAACATGTCCTGGGTCTGGGACTTGAACCGTTGTCAACTACGTGGGAGTCCAGCAACATAACCATTACAATATCTGCTGGTCCCAGTATTTTGTATTCTTAAATTGGGCTTTATACATAATTCAGTTTATCCCTAAGGATATCATGTTCTTGAAAAGTATTATAAATTGTACTGATTTTAAATTTCAAATTCCAATTGTTTTTTGCCTGTACACAGAAATACTATAAAAATAGTATGATAGATGTATGTTTATGTGTGCATACATGCTATACACATAGATTATCTTCTGTTTACCCACATATCATTACAAATTCTAGTACTCTACATCTTTTTCACATTTCTGCCAGGTACTACCTCTTGGGTGTCAGGAAAGTTATGCATATTTTTCTATGCAGAAATGTGTCATGACTTTTCTGACAACTCAATATTTTCCTTCGGCCTAAAGAAATTCCTTTAAATTTCTGGTAGTGCAGGCCAATTTTCCCCCTATACTTTAAATTGGATTTCTGGTTTACATATAATCATTATATACCTCTGTGGGTTACAATAAGGTTTTCCAGCATTTCGTTTTTTAGGTTATTGTCATTAGGACATGTGTGCTCACCACAGATAGACAGAAAGAGGCTGAAAGAGCGAAAGTGAGAAATCACTCCCCAGGGGGATGGCCACGCCACAATCCCTTCTCCTCCATTCCTCTCTCGGGATCTTGGGCACATGTGCACACTTGCTTAACATGATTTTCAAGCCTCTGGGTCTGGGACTCAAACTGTGGTCAGCCACATAGAAATCCAGCACCTTAACCACCATGTCACCTATTGGTCCCTATAGTATAGCTTTTTGAAAGCATGTATACAGTGTCTAATAATCAAGTCAGGAATAAATGTATTGTGTTGGGTAATCATTTTCTCCAAACACTCCCCATTCACATCTCCCTGTGCAACTTCTATGGGATCTAGAATTATTCTCTCTGCTTTTAAACTGTTGAGACCTTTAGCTTCTGCTAGAGATAATGGGAGACATACAGCGTTTGTTATTTTTCTTAGTTTATTTCACTTAGCATTAAATCTACTAGGCTCATCCATTTTGTCATGTCAGGGTACTGTTGCTCTTTATGGTCGAGTAGTATTCCATTGAACATATGTGTCATATTTTCTTTATACATTCATCAGTTGTTGGACACTTAGGCTGATTTCCTTGTCTTAAGAGGAATGTCTCTCAAACAGTGATTTCCTGTTCTTTGTGTATATATCTTAAAGTAGGATTACTGGTCAAATAGTACTCCTATTTTTAGATTTAGTTTTTGTTACAGGTTGCATGTGCTCACCGGAGAGACAAAGAGAGAGAGCAAAAGTGAGAAATCACCCCCCCCCAATACACACACACGAAATGGTCATGCTGTAATCCTTTCTCTTCCGTTCTCAAGATTTTGGGCATGCATGTACATACGGCCAGCATAATTTTCAAGCCATGTGGGAATCCAGTGCCTTAACCACCATACTACTTTTCACATAGTGTATTAATTTACATTCTCACCAGTAGTGTGCAAGGGTTCCCATTTCTGTGCAGTCTCACCAACATTTGTTTCCCCTCCAACCCTCTAGTCACAGCCATTCTGACTGGGCTTAGGGGATACTTCATTGTGGGTTTGATCTTCATTTCCCTTGTGACAAAAGAGATTGAACATTTTTTCACATGCTTTTTAGCCATTTATCTTTCTGAGAGGTATCTATTCAGGTTGATTGTCCATTTTCTTGAGTGGATGATTAGACTTTTGAAGGTGAGTTGAGTTCTTTATGTATTCTGGTTATCAATCCCTTATCTGCAATATGCAAATATTTCCTTCCAATCTGTGGCTTGTTTCTTTATTCTGCTTATTGTTTTCTTTGCTGTATAGGTTTTTTGTTTGACACAACCCCAACAGTTTATTTTTGGTGTTGATGTCCATGTTTAAGGAGTCTTATTTAAGAAATCTTTGCCTAATCCAATATCTTGAAGATATTCTCCCATTCTTTCAAGAATTTTCAAAGTTTTGAACTTTATATTTAAGTTTTTAACCCATTTTGTGTTGATTTTTGTAAATGCTAAAAGAGAGGTACATTCTTCTGCACGTGGATGTCTAGTTTTCCTAGCAACATGTATAGGAAATGCTATCTTCATTCAACTGGATTGTCTTGGGATCTTTGTCAAAAATAAATCAGTTGGCTGTATGTTACTAGATTTATATCTGGATTCTCTATTCTATTCCACTGGTTTATGCATTAGTACCAGGCTGTGCCAGTACTATTTTTGTGCCCCTACCAAGCTGCTTTGGTTCATATGGCTGTGCAATGCATCTTTAAGTCAGGTAGTGCAATTTGGCCAACTTTATTCTTTTTCCACAGCATTGCCTGGGTGATGTGGAATCTTCTTTGATTCTGAACTTTTTTACTTTTTTTTTTCTATTTATGTGAAGAATGTCACTGGTATTTTGATAAGAATTGCACTAAATTTAATTCATTTGGGTAGTATTTCCCCTATATTGTAATGTGGGGACACATTTAAGAGAGAGAGTCTGAGGT